CATTGAAAATTAACCAATATTTAAATAATTCAATACAGACACATCTCTATAGTGGCTAAATGAAAAATGATATTGAATGTGGCGTTCTTGCATTTAAAAGAGCTTATTTTTCTCTATCCAAAAGTAGTCATAACTCAAAATTCATGAATTTTGAGTTGTGGCAGTCTTGTTCTAGGAGTGCGATTTATAAGACGGAGACTTGAGGGTGTGAATGTGTGCCCGTATTTGACGTCTCCATACTACGAGTGTGTAAAATTTACGCGCAAAGTCCATTCACGTTTATAGCTTTATTACCTGGTTTAAAATTTGAGTGAATCGACCTTATTATAAAACTTAAAGGTAAGAACATTATATTTTGTATTTGTATGTCAGTTTTTTACGATAATACTCATAACTCGCTTAAAAACTGAACTATCGTAAAAAACTGATATGAGAACACAAATAATATTCCTTCTATTAAGTTTCATAATAAGTTGATTAACTATAATTTTAAAACTAACAAAGCTATACGTGAACTGCTGAGCGTAAATGTTCTATGTTACGCACTAGTAAGACGGAGACAATTAGTGGCAGACAACAAAGCGTATCTGAATAACTTTCAGCGTTATCTGATAATTAACCAATAATCATGATTGTCAGTCACAGTTCTTATCTCACTGCATATCCTGTACAGATTATGTATGAATCCGGGAAACCGTGATACCTATTTTAGATTATTATGGACACGTTTTATCACAAAAAGTTCGAGTTCATTTAGTCAATATTATTAATATTTCTATAGCATTAAGAATTATGCTTACAATTCCAATACCCACAGCTAGCTAGATGCTAAAAGAAATTTTTCGAAACTAAAATTAATTAAAAACGAGATTAAAAATTCGTTACGGATGACAATAGCTCAAAAAGACTTTCTGGCCTTAATATAATTTCTGTCAAATGAAAACGGAATTTTCAAAAATCTGGATTACGCCAATACGATGGTTTAATGTAAATATTTTCAAAAGCGAAGGCAAGAAAAATTAATTATATTTAGATTTTTATATTCTTTTCTTTGCTATTAAAATATAATCATAAATTTAATAAATATTGCAAATACATGAATTATTTAAATATTTAATTGTTTGTACTAAACCGTAAAATTAAAAAAGGTAGTTATAAAAACTGATAATTTATATTTACATTTTTAAATGTGGATCGTACATTATTATTTGCAACCGAAATTATTATCCTTAGATAGTTATTAAAATTATAGCAAATATTAACCACTAAATACTAAATAGTAAACACAAAATTAGAAATGTGTGAAGGTATTTTTTAATAAGTGCTGACTGTGCATTATAGTCCGTTCTAAAATAATTTTAGCATATTTGATTCAAATTTTTATTACAAAAGCGAATAAAAATGAGTTTTTAATGTTAAGTTGGGGCGGAAAGGCGCATCAATAATATTCTACCTAGCAAATCCTAAAGAATTCATGATAGTTACCTTTACACAATTCCTATCCATTTTATCATAATAGCAATTACTTATAATTGTTAATCCTTGCAGCAAACATATTATTAAGAGGACGCTACACGGTAATTTGTTGTCTTCGTCTTACGAGTGAGTAACATAGCAAATTTACGCTCAGGAAAATTCGTTTAGCTCCGTTAGTTTAAAAATTAGAGTGAATCGACCTATTATAAAACTTGATAGTAAGTTCATTATCTGTGTTTGTATATGAGGTTTTTACGATAATTCAATTTTTAGTAAGTTGTGGGTAAGTATATAAAATGGCATAAATTAAATTTGCTCATAACTCACTTAAAAACCAAATTATCGTAAAAAACCAACATGAATACACAAATAATGTTCTTAACATCAAGTTCGACGGAGACAACAAATTTCTGTGTAGCGTCCTCTTAAACCAAATATCTATAAAGATAAACTAACTATTTATCAATTTACATTCCTAAATAGGCGTAAATAGATCTTGGAAATTGCCGATTATTAAATAATATGTTTAGGATTCTACTCCTCGATTCACCTATATTAATTTTTCGAACACTGACCGAGTCAAATTCCTTACAAGTTTCACAATTCAGCTTTGAACAACCCAAGTTACCAAGTTAAAATAATAAAATATTTTATTTACTCATGAGTCATAACTGTTATTATTTCTTATCGCCTCACAGTTGTTTAATCTGTGTAATTTCAAGGTAGGTATACGATTATACATATATTTAAAAATCTGAGCTCGTATTTTAAATAACCAATAATATAAGTAAAACAAAAAAATGTATTAAATTGGTTTAGAAAGTTTAAAAGGTATTTACTTTTCAGACAATTATTTAAATATTAAACTGTAATTACTAGGTAGGTACTTAATTGTATTTTGAGCTTAGCCTACAGTATCGTTTTATTTATTTTTTATATCGCCAATGTATAGATAAAACTAATTTATGACATTAAAAAATCTCTCTCTAGTTACTCTACATACAGTTTTAAGATTTAGGAAACATTTAGAGGCAAAACCATTATAATATGATAATATATGTTCATTATTCATAATTATAACTAGCTTTTTAAATGATAATATGGTGACTATAGTCCCTCATTCCATTTTCAAAGAACAAAATAATATGTACGTATAATTTCAGTTGTAAAATAGTAAAAACATTACGACTGCCTACTCAACACCTATTCAAATGATAGGAGTTTAATTCGTAACATACAATCTGCGTCAGTCGAGTAATTTTTTGAGTAATCATGTGTACAACCAATTTAGCATAACAATTTAAAACATAGGTATACAAATAAGTAAAGATACAAGCACATTTAACATAAAACACATTTCATATAATATGTAAAGCTTATACACGTTTACAATGAGTCGATAACGATAATGATGATTATATTATAGATGATGAGCGTTCGGCAGACATCAATAACAAAAAAATAAAACTTTTTGGCATTTTGCGCGATCACATTTTCAGATCGCAGTTCTACGTGACTTATACTTGTACAAGTTTTATTCAAAATGCGTGGATAGATATTTTAGATTTGATTGGCTGCAGTCGATATGCGACGAGTAAGAATAATAATATGTATATTGTATATATATATACGATGAACAGATTTTTGACCGCAAACGAAAACGCCAGTTGTGTATGCCAAGCACACGCTCCAGCGATAAAAACGCTACCTGATTCCGAATCTTCTATTAAACCGTTTGTCCAAATTATGCCAATAACTGCCGAGTTGTACAGAAAAAATAAAACGATCTATTAGTTCAAGGCGACACCGAAAGAAAAAATCTACAATGGAATACAACCAAAATCACGAAAAATTACATTAAAACAAAAAAGGCAGCAAAAATAGACGCGGTGCTAGAATAGAAAAACTTAAAACTGCTTGTTTATTAATCAAAACTTAATTATTTTTCTTTTCAATACAGATTATGTGTCTCGTGTACACAAACATCTTAAAATACATTTGACCTATCCACCACTAACTTGTAATGTTTTGATTTGGTCTAAAGAATTAATTATAACACCAATATAACTTACCTACTATATATTCAGTATTAGAATGAATAAGAAGGATATACTTTGTTAGTATACTTTTTTGTTTATTATTATTTATAAAGTCTTCTTTTAACTACTGGATCATTATAGCTAAGATTGCTCATGCTTAATAGGTATATCTTGAAATACATTACTTTGTTTACCTACGACCTACCCTGAAATTTAACTTTTAAGTATGTTCGTATAATAATATAAAAATATACTGTAATATACTGTATACTTATAATAGAATAATACGTGTAAATGTGTAATATTTAGATTATCTTGTACAGTCCAATACCCGTCACCGATAAAAAGGAGAATTAAATTGGTAACCTAAACGTCCATTTGTTATTCGAACTGTAATTTAATAAATAGGAAGGTAGTTAATAAATTCAACATATTATAACAATTAGGTAAACGATATACCTATTGCTACAAAATTTACAAAAAATTACAATAGGTACACAAATATTTTTTTTTTTTATCATTACCTATATAAATTTGTATAAATTTATAGTTAATTTAAAAATAATTAATTAAGTCTGGTTAATTAAATTTAAGAAATATTTTATCTATTTATTTGTCTTTAATACATTATTATTTTATCAAATTTACTTAATGTATATTACCTAGAATAAAATGTAAATAAAAACTTTATATCAAACAAGAGTACAATTGTTTAGTCTTAAGCTTTCTGTCCTTACTTAAGATGGTTAATTTTCAATATTATTTGAATAAATGTTCTCCATTGAATATTTTAAATAATTTTAAATTATATTAGAAAATATTTAGGTAGTGAAACCAAAACGGACCGATTCACACTATAACAGCACTTTTACAACTTTACAAGACTGATTTCTTTGTCTTCTTTCTACTAGGAGGAAACTATTGTGTAAAGGTTCTATTTTTTAAGAGAATGTCAAGTGTCACACCTGTTATCCTAACTACACACACAAACTATGGCAAAACCACTTAACACAATTCTCGTTTGGTATCCAAAACTATTTAATTTACATAAATAAAAACAATTTCAATATTTACTAATGTGGAGTTTAATCATAATATTAAGTTAAGTGTTGAGATATAATATTTCTAATGTTAAAATCTCAATATAAGAAAAAAAATAGAAAAAAAATGTGGTATTAATAATTTAGAGCTTTGCGTATGTTTTTCTCAATATTTTAGTTTTTTAAATAGGTACCTAGTTGCCAAGATAACAATAAAACATAAGTTGTACCTATATTAATATGTTTAAAACATCTAGTTATGCCAAAACATTTTTCTGAATATTGAAAATTTAATAAACGACAATTTCTTTGACCTCTTAAAATTCTAAATTATAGGTATTATAAACTTTAGAAGCACATTCCCATATGACGATAAATATATTTGTTACCTATTTAAAATATTCAAACCTATACTAGAAATTAAGATATATTAATTAACGAATACTCACCTAATAGAAAACCTTCTACCAGCTCCATCACTATTGATAAATTCCTGTAATGCGATGTGCACGTCTTCCAATTCAAGCATACTAACATCAGAAGTAGAAGAGATGTCTGAATACGAGTCAATGGTGTACAAGTCGTCATCAGCATCATCGTCGTTGTCGTCTTCTTCCTCCTCATCGTCATCAACGTCCACTTCGGGCTCCTCTTCAGCTGTACCAATAGTTATCTGTACGTTGCGCCTGAGTGTCAGGCTGACAGAAGCCTCGATCTGCATCTGTGCGTCAAATAGCCAAAATGCAGTGAACACGATCATGGGTATGAGAAACCTGGAACGGCCACACAGATGCAATAGCAGCGACTTTCCGCCCTTAGACGCGGAAGCAGACAGCAAACGAGGCTTGATCCAGTGCACGTACGCTGACATCAAGCATATTACCGGTAAGATCTTCTTCTTAACATTCATCTAAGAAATAAGACGAGCGTTAAGCGTATGACAATAACAGAGGAAAATAACACACTCACCTCGACGAATGTAGTCCACTACAGACCACTATCCACTACATGTAATATTGTTGTACTAAAATAATTTATAAATATAATACACTGAAGCACTGAACTACAGAAGTGTAGATACTACGTATATTGTATATTAGGCAACATTTAAAAGAATTTAGAATAATAAACAACAGTAATGATGATAATAATAATCATTCGGATTACGAATCATGGTGAATGGCGATGGATAAACGGAATGTAACAAAATATACAAATACAAATACCAATTTATAATGATTACCGACATGATAAGCTTGCTTTTGTTGACTGTGATAAAAAATACGCGCCATCTACTGTGTATTATGAGAGTTCATGATACGGCCCGCCGCGAGACGTAAACGACCACAGATAAAAATTTAACAAAAAAATTACTGTGTTAGGTAAAGGTTTAATGTGGTACTACTGGTACTAATAAATAATAAAAATCACGGTTAGATAAAAATAAGAGAGTGGCAATCACGGTCTTAGATTATTAGGTCTGGCAACTTGATAATGAAATCCGTGTTCTTAATGACCGGACAGAGAATAGTCATGTACACGTGTCACTATCTAGCGGATTAATGTTTTTCATTATTATTTAATAACGGAAACCACGGTCTCAGGTGCAGTTGTTTTACTGATTAATAAATAGCAGGTACTACATTTCGACTTTCGAGTGTAATAATTATTTTTGTGTACGTGTGTACTGAGTCAAGGGTGGCTCCAGAGACATGGTTGGTGAGGGTGGGGGTTCATAATTTTTGGAAAACATTTGATATTATAAAATGTTTTTTTTTGTAATTATTTTTAAAATATGTATACATTTTTTTTAGAAATATGGGCATGGGAGGGGGCCCATGTGTTTAGGACTTATGTCTAGAAAATGCTAATATAAATATTTTAAGAAAAATGTACGTCTATAATTATGATTATATACTAGAATAAAGAATTAAGATAGTTGATTTTGTTGAAATCTTGTTTTTCGTAAAAATTACCGTTTTCCCGATTTTGTGAAGTACCTAGGTACTGTACATTTTCCGAATACCTACAAATAAAAGTACAAAGCTACCAGAAATATTCATTAAAGTTAAAGATTCAAGCATTTTTTCATCTATAAAACGTGTATACAAACACAGAAAGAAAAACATTGTAAATCCAATACATTCATCTCCCCGCCTAAATCTAATACATAAACAAAAATTGCGCCAAAATGTATAAAAAAAAAAGTATATTGTTATGTAATTTAACTCGAACGACGAGCGTTTTTAATTGAAAACACTTTTAGTAGTTTATAACTTTGTACCTCATCATGCCAAAAAAGTGTGCTATATGTCATAAAGGAACAGAAGGAGTTCCAACTTGTATAGTTACTCTTAAGCGGAAAGAGAATTGGGAATTTGTAGTTCCGATTCCATTATTTGTTGGTGATCGAATATGTCAAACACATTTTCCCAAATCTTTTTTAATAAAATAAAATAATAATAATAATTTCATTAAGTTTCACAAAACATTCATACATTATATCTATTATTAAAGATATAATTAATATTACACTTACCAATACTAAGTATTCAAAATGTTTAACAAAATGTATTATGTAAGTCATTGTGTTCATTATTATTATTTATTATTATTATATATAAAATAAAAACTCAAAAGTTGTTTGTTTTTATAGAATTTGCCAGAGGCGGAACTAAGAATTTTTACGCCCGGGGAAAATATTAAAATTAAGCCCAATCATAGACCAAGATTGAAAATACAATATCATTCCCTACAATTGTTTTATCATAACTGGAACTAAAATTACAAACATACTTATTAACTTTTAAACACATAATAATATATAATAGGTAATTAATATATTCTGCGGACTGTGGTGTTACCAAGTTTATACTAATAAACTATCACACCAAAAGCACTTTAAATTTAAAAACTTAGTCAACATATTGTTGATACATTTTTAATTACTGGAAATACTGTATTGGTTACTTAATTGTATTTATTATTAGAAATAATAATAATATTAGTTATACATATATAAATGTTGAAAAATATTCAAAACTTTAATTATACCTACCTATCCTGTATAAAAATTGTAAACACTTTTGCTGTTTTGGTTCTATACGCCTCAGGCCTCAGCCTTCAATTATAATAGATTTTTATGGTAAAATATAAATTCTTTTATTTTGATAAGGGTACACAATTTAGGCCAGTAAAAAATTGTATTTAATTAAACAATTTATAATAGAAAAAATGAAAAAGTAAATATTTAAAATCAAATCTTTTTTTTTAAACATAAACAAATGTCTATCTTGGTAAATATTATAATACATAATATTATAAACTATAATATATTAACATCATTTTTAATATACAGATATAATATGCGTATCGTACGTTGATTGATAATCTTATAACAGTTATTGTGTAGGTATCAGCAATTTTAACGAAAACACAGCATCAATAAATGCCTAGGTATAGTTAATAGTTACATTTTCACTCAGAATCTTAATAATTATAGTATATTAGTTGTATATGCTTGCAGTAGGTATGCTAATGCCAGTATACCAGTATATACTTAGTATACTATTACGAATCTATTCATAATCTTACTATATTAACTTTATTTTTTTTTTTCATTAATTCCAACGTCATCACTACAACATCATAAACAAATAATGAGAAATAAAAATGTTTTCTTAACTTCTATCACCAAGCATTAAATAAAGAACTAAAGAAAAATTACGCCCACTAAAATGTTACGCCCGGGGATCAATCCCCGGCTTCACCCCTCTAGTTCCGCCCCTGGAATTTGCTACTTTAGTCCACGTCCTATAATCATACAAAGGCTGAAAGGCCTAATTTTAAGAAAAAAAAAGAATGCCCATAAGTTGTGTTATTTATCATAACATGAGATATCATTGACATTAAACTTATAGATCACCATACGTCGTTGATAGATGGCAGTACTAGTATTTATGAGTTCCCTGTCCCGTCAATAAGAGCACGGATTATTATATGTTAATCTCATCGAGTTGCATAGGGCTGGTGGCAATCACGATTAAAGATATATTATAATATATTATATCTCGGACTAAGATATACAGGACTGGACACGACAAGGTTGGAGGGTGTGGGGGGGTTGACTACGAAATGTTTTACAACAGGCAGTGTTCGGGGGGATATTTTCCTTTTAGCATTACTAGCGCCGTCTTAGTGGATACTTTTGGAACTAGATGACAATAATGTGATCTAGTTCCATAAGTATCCACTAAGACGGCGCTAGTAATGCTAAAAGGAAAATATCCCCCCGAACTCCGCCTGTTGTAAAACATTTCGTAACCACAATATTCATCTCGTGTCCAGTCCTGTATATCTTAGTCCGTGGTTCATACATATTTTTTAAATAATAATCGGACATCGGGAAGTACATAAACTAATCTTCCGCTTATAGCTATTTTGTACCGATTTTAACGGTTTTCTTACGATAACACGATAATGGCCCAGATAATGGATTACACACACTAAGGTTCATTTACTGCTCACACAATAACGAATATTTGCCAATCATATTTTTGCACAATTTCCTAAATTTTACTACTTAAAATATTCTATGCTCCAAACAGCCTTGAAGTCCGCCCTTTAGTGATTATAGGTACTCTGCTTGACTGCTTCCGCCGTTAATGACAATTAATAAAAATCGTTATAGGCTATAACAGCAATAATAATAATAACTAAACATATTTACATAAAAATAATATGTTTGTTATAAAATCAGTTGGTGTTTAATTATATTGAGGTAGGTCTTCATTTTGGTCCACATCCAATAATAGAGATGCAGCTATAAAATTTTGCTCTACTTGGTTTGGTACCTCAATGTTTAATGTGGTTTTTTCTACATTTCTCTTAGATTTAGTGGAATGAAAACGGCGTTGAGGAGTTATTTTTAATTTGTTTGGTGATGTTTGGCAATGAGACGGTGTCAAACTCTTAAATGGTTGACTATCAGCATTACTTCTTAACACATTTAAAGTAGGTGTAACCGAAGAAAGACATTTTTTTAAAATGCCCAGTTCTTCTGAACTAGAAATCCCATCTAAAATATTATTAAAATATAATCTTACTTTATCTTTTTCATTAGCTAGATCGTTTGATGGTTTGGTTGAATTATTTAACTGTGACACAATGATAGTTGTTTCATTGGTACGTTCCAAATTTGTGAGTGTGTTATTAGTAATTATATTTTCATTATTCTTTCTTTTCAGGAATTGACAGACTGTAAATGAAATGTATGTGTTTACACATGTTCCATTTTATTGCACTATCTATGCAGGAACATGAGTAGCAATGTATGCATGACTGACAATCAGAACAATTTATTTGGCAGTCACAGTTGGATTTGAGATTGTTCACCTCATACATTTCACTAGTTTTTCCTGATAACACATTCCAATTATTGTGATCAACATTTTCAAGCACCATTTCTAGAGACATTAAAAGACTTGTCTTATGCCTTTTGCGCAACTCCTTTACTTTTGAGCATATTTTACCTTTATGTAACACAATAAGCCTATCAATAGATTTGTCTCTAGTATATTTCATTAAGGCATGCAGAGATTTATCAAGACGCTTCACCTTTTTGCCTTGTAAGTAAATGTGCCTTATAGTCCGATGCATTCTTTCAATATGCATATTTGTGTTAATTCCAGCATGTATTCTGTGGCAATAAGCCCATGACTGCACAGATGAAGCATAATAACTAGTAAAATAGTTTGAGAAATTAATAGTTTCGTCATCTTTTGCCATTCGATTTATAGCATTGTCGAACATTCTACTAAAGGCCTCAGCATCTTGTTCTACAAGTAATGTTCGTAATACTTTATATATTTCTACCTGTTTTGTCTTGTTTTTAATTTTATTTAAATTTTT